AATAAACTAATGAAATGTTAATTAAACATCGTGGCTCCTTATTGGCTTTTTTCAGTTTTTGGGGACAATATGTGCAGATTATTGATTTAGGAATTTACATTGCTAATGTTTACCAGGTCCACGATTGAAATTTGGGTATTGCTGGATTGAAATTGTTGAAATTTGGGTGTTTTTGTTTATTATGAATTTAACGTTATTTTTTTGGTGAAAAATGGGCATCCCTTTTTTGGTTGTAAAGGAGGACAAAATGTTTTTAGTCAAACTTTGTGTCAGATTCCAAATTAATGCCCATTTTCCCATTGAGAATTATTTTCAATTTTGCCGTGACAAATTAATTACAATTTTCCACAAATACCCTCGTCCCTTTGCAACTTATTCATACTATGAAAGGGCATTATTGGAACAAATATTTTAATTGTTGGAAAGTACCAATTTAATGCAAGTGGGAAGGGACAATTTCTGACGGAATATGATAGATTCGGGTGATGGGTACCACTTTTTTGAAAAAGAAACCGTAGAAAAATGAATTTTTTGTGAAAAAACAGGTGTCAAACGTGCACGAAATATGGTATTTATTTGTTTATTTATTTATTTATATATTGAATTTGTTTTTCAATACATAAATAAAACATGTTGGCTACAATTTTAATAGCATATTGACTTGTTTTCGTTAATGATATGTAATTTTAAATATTTTTGAACTCTCATTTTTTACCCCACAAGACAAATGGTCTGGATCCGCCACTGAATGTAATGTCTTTTATTTGGACGAATAATTAGGATCAGACCCCTAGTTTATGATTACTTTCCAAGTTCTACGCGTTAGCAAAAAATTACACACACTAGTATTCAACAAGCATGAAATTAATATATATGTCAATAGCTCCAAACACCAGATTACCCCCACACTAGTATTTACTCGAGCTATTCTTTCAAGGTAACCAACCTAATTAAAAACATAGTGATTGTCGTGACTATTGCACTCAAAATATTTTAAGCCAATATGGGTAAGTATTAAAATAACAAAAGTAGCATGACTTAGTCATAATTCATGAATCATCAATAATTTCAAACAATATCATTATTACTCATCAAGATCACATTACATGAACACAAACAAACAAACAAACAAACATAGTAGAATATGAAGTTACACTCCCAAAATTGAATTAAACATTATCATCAATGTAAAAAAGACTATAAACAGAACAAAAGAAAATAAAAGGGTCTAGAGGCTTGTCGGTTGTGTGTCAAAATATGTATTCAGAAGATTCATTTGAAGTCTTGCCCTTCCCATTCTCCATTTTACATGTAAATAATATCAAAAGTGTAAGTGAGAACTATGCGAACGAAGGGACGACGAAGCAAGAGATGTTAGGGTTTTCAAACTCCATTGTTCAGTCCCTGACAACTTCGTGAATCACTGTTGCAGTTCATGTTATCTGACATTCTTCACTATTGTGAGCTCCCCTACAATTTTTACAGACTAAGAACATTGTTTGCACTGAATATAGATTCCATCTTCGGCTCAATAGCACTAGATCACCATGTCTCAAATTTCGAATGCAAGAAGTCTGCCCGAAAATAGAGTCAAAAATTTTATTCGCTAAATTCCCAAAACTATACGATATCGCAAACAAATAGTAAAGTGGGCCAAAGAGGTCGAAATTCCGTTCTGATCAGACTGTGTATTCAATTAGATCTTGATTACTTTTAATTGAAATAGCAAAATTATATAGAGATTGGTGATTGTAAAGTAAATTCTATAACTAATAACTATATAAGAAAACAAAATTAAATTATGAAGCCATTATGAAAGCTGAATTAATTAAAATCTCCAATACCTCGAATTCCCTAATATTCTTCCAATTTAATATCAATTCAAGAAAATGACAATACTTATTTAGACTTGACGACCAATGTTCCAATTGAATGTCTATCGAATAATATTAAAATTATTCTCATATATGAGCTTACTATGAGCCTGTCTGGGAGGACTTTTTTTGTCAAATTTTAATCCTATTTTAGATCGTTGCTCACCCACCAACCTGAATTGTTGAGTTTGGTGTCTCACTGTGCTTCCTAGGGAGTGCCATCAAAAAATCAACTCCATTTGGCAAAAAGTCTTTGCTAGACACAGCTTATATCTCTATGAATAATATGAATACGTGAAAACAAATTGAATCTTACAAATATTCATCTAAGATCATGAAAATATAAGATACATCTCTATCATCTATTGGACTTTACAATAATTGTTACTATGTGTTCAAATTCTTATTTATTCTCTCGAAAAAATAGTAGCCATAAATCTATTCAAATATTGTTCGAGTAATTGAAACATTAAAATCATAACAACCATTAAAATAAAACAAATATTGAACCTCAAAATCTTGGAATTAAATCTGAAATTTCAAAATATAGGGTTCATATTTGCCCTAATATCGATATATACAATTAGCCGAGTATCATGAAATTACACAAACACAATTTCGAATGATATACATCACATAAATTTCAGTTATAGAAAAAAAAAATGAAAATAATTTTAGCCCCTGTTTGTTTCCGATTTCAAGCAAACTTTGTACCGTTGCTCCTGTGTTATAGTCACAATATTTGACTTCTTTGTGTCATAGTGGGCCCCACAATTTTGAAAAAAAAAAGGGTCAAAAAAAGCATTTTCTTAATGAAATAATTGGAAACAAACTCTTGAATCTCTTCAACAATTCTTGAATAATATTCTTGTATCTTCTTACAAAGTCCGAGCAAAGATATAAAATTTGTGTATCAAAACGTGTTTGTGAACCGAAGCTTCTTATTCCTTTTTATCCAAATGAAAATCTCTACTTATAGTTCAATTTTTCTTACGAAAGAAAATTTGGTCGGTCCGTAAAACCATGAGATTGCGTGGTTGAATTTGCAATCGTATAGGGCACACCTTGCGATCACAGGGATCAACCTTTTTCTCCATATTTAGTTAGTCCTTCAATGTTGTATTTGTTTCATATCCTTACATGTTAGTCCCCATCTTGCATAATTTGTTCTTCTTAAGTACTCATTGTTCAATTTATGCTCAAAATGTATTTAAATCTGGGTTTTACCTAAAACTAACAAAATTATGCTAACTTCATCGTCTATGACTTGTCAAGTTTAATAGCATGATTAAGAGGGTGTTTGGTAGGAATTAAAATTAGAATTTTAGTATATTGCGATAGAAGTTTTTGAAATGTATAGTTGAAAAATTGTAGGACCTATGAAAGATGTGGTTAATATTTATTATTTTGACTTTGACTTGGATTAAAAATTAAAATCAAATAAGTGTCTAAAAATAAACTTATCAGTCATCCAACTTTGAGTGAAGTCTCCATCAGGTCACTCAACTTTATAAAGTTTTAATCAAGCCAACAAACTTTAACTTTATTTAAAATCTAGCCACTCTTAGAAATCGTAAATAAAATTGACGGGATTCTTCAATGTAGACTTCAAAATTGGAGGAACATTCACGGCAACCTCACTTGGCAAGATTTTTTAATCCTTAATTTCCCTCCTTTCCCATAGTAGTCTTTACCCATTAGATTTTTTAATATTCATCGAGATCTGTTGACTTTGTATACCATTCTGTTGTAAATAGTTCATTTTTCAAAAGCATTATCATCATGAGTAGGTATACATTTATGCCAATAAATTTAACCTCCAGCATCTTCATCCTATGTGGCATTTCATCTAATTTCTACATCCACATATTCTAATCCCGTCGTTAAAGGTAAATCTCACATTGAATAATTATAAAATATATAATTCACATATAGGATTTTGAGTTGCAGCACTTAATAAGATTAATATTTTAAGTTGAAAATTCAAGTTTCAATCAAATTAAGACACTTAAATTAACGTACAACTTTCAAGATTGATCTGCTCAAAACAAGAAATTAACTTTTTAAGATGAAACTCTATATTTTAATACTTGACTATGCTACATAGTATCGAATTATTTTACAAAATCTCTTATCGACTACTCACAATAAAGGGGTGGAGACCACATCTTGAGATTTTTTTATTCACATGGATCCGCGTGCATGTGAGGGAGGATAAACTATTCAGTAAATTTTTATGTGCTTGTTTGATAGAAATTTTTGGGGGAAGAATTGATTTTTGAATAGTGATATGATGGGAAATGTGTGGTTGAAAAAGAAGAAAAAATTATTGATGTGATGGAAAATATTATTTTTTTGGAAAATGTGTGATTGAAAATGAGAATTGATTTCATATAAAATTTGAGAATAAAAAAACAAACAGGTCCTATATGTAGAAATATCTTTATCCTTTGATACTTACGTTTGCATGGATGTCATCTATTTTGAAACAGCATTTTAGTTCGATGACTTGATTGAGTCGTTTAAAGTCAAAGTACTCTGTTCAATGTTAGGTACAACTCCAATAAAATGTACCTTTTTTTTCTTCAGATGTATATATTTCATAACGATGGAATGGCTGGATTCACGTATGTGCTGATGAAATTGTCCAAGTCCAGATCACCTGTCTCGTCCCTCCAGTGACCTTCTTCCAGCTGTAATTTTCATAATTGTAAAACATCCTCCGAGAACTCGCTACTTCTATATTTAGCAGCAGATCTCACGAAATTGACTTTTAAGGTTGAATTCTTGATTGGTGAACCAATGAGCGTGCATGCGTATACGCATAAAGAAGGTCGGTGCAAGCGCAGCTGCAGTACATTATACAAAGGGTACATGACACGATATGTCTGTGTGTGTGTGTGGATTCTGAATTGTGGGCCCCAAATGTCTGACGAAATTCAGCCAGGTGTTTCGATTTTATTCCGTGTATTTCCTGTTTATTATCCTGTATCTTTATGTCTTCTGTATCTATATATATACACACACAAAAGAGCTTGAACTCAGAAGAAGTTTCTCCTGTTTTTAAGTGCATTTATTTGATATACTGTTTCTTGTCTGTGATTTGAGTGTGTTTTTCGGGGGGAAATGAGCCCAGCGAGGAAAAAAACAGGTGGGAATTCTGTGAATAAAATGGACAGAAAGACCATCGAAAAGAACAGAAGAATTGTGATGAAAGATCTGTGTTCCAAGCTTACTTCTCTCATTCCTACTCAGCACTTCAAACCAGCCAAGGTACTCTCTATCTCTGTGTCTACTTAAAAATGACTGACAGAATATTGTTCTATCAGTATCATCAGTGCATTCACTGCCCGAAAATTCTATCTATGATTATCCAAATCGATTTGTTCGATGAGTATGTGGAGGTGACGGGGATTTGCACCAAATCCATTGTAGGGTCGGGTAAAAAAAAAAAAAAAGAGTTTCTTGATGATCTAGGGTTAGGTTTTTCAATTTTTTTATTTATTTATTTTGCCTAAACAAGAAAGAACACACAATGACTTAAGAAGTTTGTATTTTCCAACATAAAATTATACTGAGAAATGAGGTGTTGGCTTTGTCCTTGAATTGGTAGGGGTCTTGAATCTGGCCATATACTTGAATTTTAGTTCCTCATAAATGTTCTTTTCTAATTGATGTATTCATTCGCCTAAAAATTGCACGAATCGACAAAACATGATTCCTATAGTTAATTTATACAATCTTTTTGTTTTTTCATATGTTAAAAGTTTCCAATATTGTCTAGACGTTTGTTCATCGTCTTTTTTTTTTCTAGTTTCCATCTTAGAGATGGGTGGAACTCTTCCTCCATTTCCATTTTATTTCTATCTTTTTCACTTTTTAGTCAAAATAGTGATAGCAGACTCGAACCAAAGATCGCTTGTGAGCGAACATAACATAATGAATCATCTCTTCAAAAAAAAAAAAAAATTTGTTTAGAGATGATAAATTATAATTCATATTAATATAATATCTTCAACCTATGTATGTCACACATTTATCTATTCATCCTTTGCATTATTGTAAATATAGTTGCAAGTTATAATCATGTTACCTTGGGCAAACATGAGCCCCTTTTTGACAACCATTATTTGAGAAAATATATATATATATATATATATTTGGGTTTACGTGCAGAATATCTTATTGCGTGAATGTGTGGTTGAAAATGAGTATGCAGATGAAAAATAGTTTTCAAATAATAGTTGTCAAACAGGGTAATTCTTGTTATATCATTCAAAATAAATTTTTTGACACAATGGTAAAGGAAAAAGGAGAAGATTATTCGTTATTTCTCTCTTTTGATCTTGTTTATTTCTCTACATATTACTAACTTTTACACTTACAAGTGCAGGAATTTTTATCGCAACAAGATTTGTTCGACCAGGCTGCAAGTTTCATTAAGCAACTTAAAGAAAGAATAGAAGAATTAAAGAGTAGAAAGAGAGAACTATCTTTGAGAACTGCTGGTGAAACTAACAATAGTATTAAAAACTCAATAATGCATGGAGTAAATTTGCCAATTTTGAGGTTTAGAGACTTGGGTAGTAGCTTTGAAGTTGTTTTAATAAGTGGGCACAAGAAGAATTTCATGTTGTATAAAGTTATTAACATACTTGAAGAAGGAGGAGCTGAAGTCGTCACCGCTAGTCTTTCTAATATTGGCATCAACATTTTTCTCATCCTTCACGCTAAGGTGATTATTGAAATTTTTTAAGTTGAATATTTATTCGCGCACGTACACATATACATTTCAAATATGTATACGTATACAAATTTGAGTATGCTTAGACCAACTTCGCTTTAAGTTATTAGGAAGGATCACATGCATTCGTTTGAGTCATGTCTATAACGTGCCCCCGCAACCTTTCGTGTAGATTGAATATTCATTTTGTAAATTGCACTTTCCCTAATTGCTTATGAGCATATTTGGGACTTGTCTTAAAATTAATATTAAGGGCCTGCTTGGTAGAGATTCTAATTTTCTACAGTAAATCAATTCTCATTCTCAACCACACATTCTTCAATAAAATAATATTTTCCATCACATCAATACTTTTTTCTTCTTTTTCAACCACACATTTTCCATCATATCACTATTCAAAATCAATTCTTCCCCCAAAAAATTCCTATCAAACAATCTCTTAAATATAAATTAGGCAAACGTGCATTACATGTTGCTTGCATCTAGTAAGATATTAAGTATGAAAAAGTTCAAAACTAAGNTCTGGGGTATTTCAGAGGTTACAAGCATTGATTTCTTGAAGATATGTTCAACAGAAAATAAAGTTAATGTTAATTTTGAATGTAGAAATCATTTTTCCAGTAATTTTATTTTTGAATGGTGCATTGAGATGAAGTTATCCTTACATAAGATATGTGCTCACGCGTTTTGTAGTATTTATTATTGAAGAATCAATACCAATAAAAGTTCCGACTATAAATAATTTCCACAGTAGAATTATATCTTTTGAGGCATATTGATCTTGTGTTACAAACGTTGTTTGTTTGTTTGTTTTTATTTGACTTTTACTTCTTTGATAATAATTACAACGGTCCGTGTGATAGGTGGGGGAGACTTTTCTCCATCGATTAAGTTATTTGTACAACTTTGGTGTTCTCAAAATTCAGGTCGGAGATTTAAAAAATAGTTTTTAACAATTTTTAAAATGGATGAATATGATACTGTTAAATGTGAAGTTGTTAACTATGATTGTACAAATAGCGTGATTCTTTCAACAAAGGAATCCACTTGAAATTTTGACAGTGGTGAGAGTCCTGTATAGAAGTACTATACTGGATTATATATTGTAATTCCTTGATTTGGACACTTTTGCAGCTGGCATATAGCACTGACAAGGCCCATGTGGCCCTGGCAGAATAGATAAACCCTAATAATTACTTCCAAGTATACACACTTGGTTTCGTATTTGTTCCCCCAATTTATTTTTCCATAACTAGATATACTTTAAAGACTCCTATATAAATCTAATGTGGGAGAAGAGTAATGCTACGTGTACATAATCATTTACATAATGGTTCATATAATTACACGTGGCATGTGATCCAACCTTTAATTCAAATTTCATGCTTACACATCAATAAATGGATGATTGTCACGTCAGTATTATGTAAATCATTATGTGAATAATTACGTACACCTAGCATTATTTGTGGGAGAAAATGACAAGATTGTTCAAAAAATGGGCCCAACACCATGCCACAATTGACACGCCTCTGTCAAGAATTCAACAATTCCAATAGACTACTACACTTTTCCTTGCTAGAGTATCGTACCTACCAAGACTTGATTGATGATAGCAATGATTTATTATCTTGACATTTTATGGGAATGGGATATTCTCTTGAAGTTGTTTTATCCTCGGTAAAGACTTCGACCATAATAAAAAGATAATGAACTACTTTAGATGAGTGTGCGTTGAGTACGGTTAAGAATTTTTGTAGTTTGAATTTGTCCGAGTACCATTGTAGCGACTGTTTTTATCTAGGGTCTGTTTGGTACAGATTTTTATTTTCTACAGTAAATCAATTCTTATTTTCAACACTCATTCTTCAATAAAATAATATTTTCCATCACATCAATACTTTTTTCTTCTTTTTCAACCACACATTTCTCATCATATCACTATTCGAAAATCAATTCTTCCCCCAAAAATCCTTACCAAACACACTCCTAGTTCAGGAAAGATCGGCTCCTAATAGTAATAAATATTAGGGAAAATTGCAATCGCAGTATTAAACCTTTCATTTTATTGCAGACATTGTCCAAACATTTTATTTGTGCCACTCACGATATCAAACATTTCAAAAATTTTCACCCGTGTCTAAATGGATGGAAACCGTTAGTCTATATTTTGACTAAATTTTAAAGGGTAAAAAGGTAACTTTAGATTGTTATATTAAAGAATTAAACTAATTAAATTAAAAAACCAAAAATAAAAAGAAAAGAATTTGAACAAAATTTCTTCTTCTTCCATGCCTACCTAACCCCATCCCACCTCATAGAAGCCAAACCAACGTCCACCCACCCTATCGCGTCGACCACCGCCATCCACCACTCCCTATACAACCGTCATCCACCATACTCAAACCACAACCACTGCCACCGCACAACTCCACCATTTTCAAGAATTTGAGCAATAAATCAGCAAATCAAAACCGCCTACCATAGCCTCAAATGTCGAGTATAAGCTGTGGTGACTCCAATCAAATTTGAGTATGGATTCCACAACTCCACTTTTTGAATAGTTGAAATAATATTACATATTTTTTTCTTTCAACACAGAATTGAGTGAATAACAAAGGAATTAATGGAGAAATTATTAGGTAATCAATTTGAAAAGTTGGAATGGGGATAGAGATTAACGAGAGGCCTATAGATCTGGCGCTGCGGTTGAAATAAAACCAACCCAACTATTGTTAATTTTAAAATCTTGGAATTGGCATCGAAAAAGAGGCAAATAATACTGTAGTGTAGGTCGAAGTGGCGAGGGGCGTGGGTGGTAGCGGGCTGTGGGGTGAGTGGTAGTGGTAGTGGTGGTTCTGGTTCCTGGTTTTGGTTCTAGTGTGTGTGTGTGTGTGTAGGTAGGGTATGTGGAGAAGATGAAGTGTATGTATTTTTAGATTTTTTATTTTAATTGTTTTTATAGAAAATATAAGTTTATCCTTTTTATCCTGTAAAATTTAGTCAAAATTTGGTCAAAATGTTGACTAATGGATGAACTAATAGTTTCCATCCATTTCGACCTCTGCGAGTTTTTGAAAGGTTTGGTGTCGTGATTACAATTTTTCCTAACTATTATTGTGTTATCTAAGTTGATACGAGTTAGATTTTTTTCTTTTTATCATGATTTGAGATGATTTCTTGTTATGGTATGAGTAGAATGTTGTAATTAGTAGAATTGTACCTGGTCACGTCGGACGGCTCATTTGCATTTAGGTCCAAAACATATAGAACTGTCGATGATTATAAGTTGGTCATTTATCAACTTAGCTAATTAAGATCTTAGCTTGGTCGATCAATGACTCGTTGATTGTTCGACATCTCCAATGGTGATCTAAATTAGATCTAAATTGTGAACTAGATCTCCAAAGGTTCTGGAATCTCCAATAGAGAGATGCAAGGGAAATGCAAAATGAATTTTGCAGCAAAAAATGGAAAAAAAAATGTGAATTTACATTTTTTAGATCTACATGTGGGACCCAGAAGAGGCAAAAGGCTACCGGCATCCATTTTTTTTTCCACTGGTTCATAACATCAATTTAGATTCAACAGGATATAGAAGTAATTTTGAAGATATCAATTTACACCACGATTGCCTTCACTTCCAAGTTCCAATCTCATTTTCTTTACTCATGCTATGGCAGCCTCCAAAGTTGAAATTAAAAAATGACTTGTGATGGGATATGAAAGGGCATACGACCTTCATCAAAGATGAAGAGTGGGGATGCATTCCCAATTTATGTGGATGTAAATGATTGGTTAAATGATAGATGAAATTAAATGACTTATTTAATTTCACATATCAGTTAATACCACATTAACACCACGTAAACTATGGATGCATCTTCAGTGGGGGTGAATAGCATTTCTCTGTTGAATACCTTTCTAAAAGTAGCCTAGAAACGTCAAGGTTCGATATCTTGTTAATAGAAACAAATTTAAATCAAACTTTTGAAGGACGAGTTTAATTTAGAGGAAATTACAAGAAATGTTCACTTCCACATGATCATTTGTAAAAATGTTCACAATTTGGTCAATGTTCATTTTGCAATATTTTAGACCAAAATACACTTGTTAATAATTTATAATTCCACACTAAAGACAAAAATGGACATACAATTAAATGTTTTGTTTGCCAATAAAATTTTAACACATAACGTAACCCGACTTATTTTAAAATTACGCATGTCAAATCACAATAAATGTTATATTTCTCATTTACACGGGCATAAAATATCGAGAACTACTTTTCAAATGTCAAAAACTTCATGAAATATAGAGAACTCTCATATTTGGAATGAAATCTCGTTCTAAATAAATGAAGTGTCAAGATAAATATGATTCAAATATCGATAACAATTTTTAAAATATCGAGAACGTCATGTTAATGTAGCTTCTCATCGAAATTATTTCTTCTTCTCGAAATTCTTGACAAATTGAAAAAAAATGTGCTTCATTTTTCATTAAGGGTATAATAGACAATTTAGTACTAAATATGACCCTTTTTGCAAGAATTATCAAAATTAAAAATTTTTAATTGACAAACAAGAAATTTGCCATTTTTATAAATTCCCCTTTAATTTATTAGGAGCTCCCAATCTTCCAAGAGGTGGCGGATATGGACAATGATGAAACCAAAAAAAAACAAAAAAAAAAAAAGAACTCTTGAAATCAGTTCGTGTCTGGAGCGATTTTGTCCTCATTTTAATCCAATTTTTGGTCGTTGAAATTATAGGTGGATCTCATTTGTGCAGTAATTATTAACGCAAAAGAAAACATTTTATTGGAAATTTCATTTTCGAATGAAGAATGAAATGAAAGTTAAAGTTAAAGTACGCATTGTCATTCTATCTAATTCAGTCAATAATCGCGGCTCCATGCATCGACAGCACACTGTACAATGGCTAATTCAGTCAAAATCGCTCCTAGACAACGTAGGCCTTGTTTGACGAAGTTCTTTGAGATTAAAAGTTGGTAGACTTTTAATTATTTGGTAAACTTATTAAAAATTGATTAGTGAAGAATGTGTACCGTATGAGAACAGAGTTTAAGAAGCAACAAAAATGTAGCATCATATTTTGCTTTTTGGCTTCTCCAATTATTCATAATTATGATACCATTTAAACCCTAATTAATCAAATTAATTCATTTTTTCCTAGCTTCACTAAAACTGATATAAAAAATAACACATCCTTCCATCATTTAAATTTATTTGAATATTTAATACTATATGGACCATGCTTTTATTTTGTAATTTT